TTGCTCAAGCCGACAACATAGACTTCAATCTCTGATAGCTTTGTTCATTTCAACACATGCGGAACGAGTGGTGTGGGTTTTCCCTCGTCCCCAACACTGGTTTGAGACTTAGCCCAACGATTGGTTAGGGGACTTTGATGATGAATGGAAACGTTATCTAAGAATTTCCAAGAGGACTTTTCAAGCCATAGTGGACAAAATTGGCCCAGAAATATCGAAAGGAAAGACTAGAGTTCTTTTGGACAGGATAAATGAGAATTAAAATGGCCTGTGTAACAATTTATTTGTGCAAGCACCTAATTGGCTTAACTGATAAGCATTAGTTAACTCTCGAGATAAATCTTAATTTTTTAGACGCTTTAAAATTCCAATAGATCTGGCTGAAATATTCATTGGCAGGGTACATATAAAGAAACGTAGTCTCTGAACGCTAATTTGCTTCGTTCAGGATATACAGTTTCCTCTTCTCGAATCCAAATGGGTAGAATTGAATCATGAATTTAATGTGCTAGCTGGAAAGCAATCAAGGTTATTTGTCTTCGAGCCGCAAGAAATTGCATGTTGTCCCGTGAATTCACATGACAACAGCTCAGATGAAGTACGAGAGGGTACCTACTGGTAAATCAAACTGACTCCTCACACTAACTCTTTCCAATTTAGTTGCAGTTTTTGATAATATTCATTTTACCTCATTATAAGTAACTTGCGGGTCATGACACGTTCTCAGGAAACACAAGCGTTTGTGATAAGACCTGGTCACCCCTTTACTTAAACTCGCCTTTCTTGCCTAAAGGCAAATACTTGTATGCTATTTCTCTGATCAAATCTTTTCCGTGCCCGTGTACAAATTTCATGTAGCATCACTGGTTAGGTTTGTTTTGGTTTTTTGTTTTTACATTTTTTACATGCAAATCTCGTTATGATAAGTAGTGAGGCAGAGGAAGAAATATTTTATAATTAAAAAATGTTTGCGCCAGAGAGAAACAGTTTCAACTGAATGTATCAATGTTTCCCGAGACGAAGTTGAGGTAAACATTATCAGCACACCTAAAACGTTACCAATTGCATGTGAACACAGCAGATGTAAATTTAAGTGCCACTCCCGCTAAAAGCGGTCCACTCGACTTCCCGTCCAAAAAAAAAATTTCCTTAATTTTTTTCCTATGAAAAGGGTTTAGGACACATCTTTCAAAAATAATTTGGCTATTTTCCAATTCTCTTTTATTGCCTCGCCACAAGCGAAAATAGACTTTTGGCTAGATCACCCGTGAAGACAACGATCGAAAGTGTAAATTTCACAGCTTTTGTCGAGCGCGCTGCGACTGCAGCATTGTAGCTCACGGAATTTTCTCTTGCTTCAAGTTACAAGCTATATTCTTTCAGTGCACAGACAAAATATGGAAACTTCCCTTGAAATCCTATTCACACCAGCGTGATCAGAAGAGACCCTTCCCTTCGACCTTAATTTGCATATCAAAAATTAACCAATTTAAAACAAAGAATTCTCAAAATGCAGGCGTAAATCGGACTAAAAGGACATATCGGAGGATAGTTTATACACAAATGAGGTTACCGATTGCCTCAAACCCGCGGGTATCTCTCTAAATTTCATCCACCATCATCTTGAAAAAAAAACCAAAATCGATGTCTACTTATAATCGCGCACGTGTCAAAGCTCATTTGCATAATTCTGAAAAATGACCAAGATATGTCTTTGACCATTTAAACTTCGCTTGTTTGTCTTCTACGTAAAGTATTTTAGGTTTTCATAACAATTAGATGGAATATAAATTCGAGTCATCCTAAAACGATGCATAAACATGATCAGTCGTAAAGCTTGCATGACAAAGTAAACAAAGGCGATCGGAAGGCGCTTTGGCATTCTGGTCATTTCAGGCTACTGTGTTCCTTAAAAGGACACACAAACAAGTTAAAATACATGTACGTTGCGGTGTTATCAAAACAACCTTCCGCAAGAATTCTTACAGTTTCTACCGAGGTTTAGCATACGGAATGCAATCAACAGGCCCACCTTTCCGAACATTTGCTGCCATCATTAAAGATTTTATGTTTTTACAATCCACAACGTTCTTCAGGGACAAGCTTAATCTTTCCCTTCGAATCAAACCCGGCCTGGTATATTGCATGACGTGATTATGCTAAACGGTACCAGTCCATTCGTTCCATGACTTGTTTCGCGTGTATGTAAATTGAAACTTAAAAGTACTTAAATAAATGTAACGAATTAGAACCAACTTGAAGTTATAAATGAACTGAAGTAAATTAAAGAATTGGGAATGGTATTTGAGCTTACACTGGTCTACCTTCACCCCCTGTTCAATATTTTTGAGGGGGTGAAGGTTCTAGCATACCTCGATCCACCCCTCTCGCTTTAGATAAGTCTGTCACTCACGTGTTTGTTTACCGGAGAGGAGAGGGTCTTCAGTTATTGATATGTTTTGAGAAATTTATCGCACAAAAATGTCTACGTGTTTCATGGAAAGCAAACATTGTAGTGGCTGTGGGTATTTAAGTGGAGTTTCAGCCCCGATATCTCTCCTGGAATGCCAGGACGACGTACCAAATCATTTGAAGTACTACCATCTATCCAGCGAAGTCCTCGAGTAAGAGTTAATTTTGCTTCGTTCCGGTCATTTTGGCCTGGAAATGGAAAATATAAAACGGATATGTTCTAAACATCGGAATTCTTTGGGAAAACACTGGAAATGCGGTATAAGTACTTGTTAGCATCCAGAGCACAAAGGAAAATGTGAGGCAGTGAAAGGAGGCCGCTGGAGCGAGC